GCGGGCGGGTCTTGAACCCACGGGCTCAGGCAATCCACTCACCTCGGCCTCCCAAAGCGCGGGATTACAGGCTGAGCCACCGAGCCCAGCCCGGATGTCAAGTATATTGTTGGCAAACTTAGGCCAACAACAAAAATAACTCCCATAAGTGTCACATGAGTTAGAGATGGTGTAAAGGGGAAAAAAAAGAACCATCTGGAACTTTCATTGTCATTCTTATCGCATTTCCTGGCAGTTAACCCTTGAACAACGCAGGTTTGAACTGCATGGATCCACTTATATGTGAACTTTCCTCAGTAAAAGTTTCATCAAGTTTGCTTGCCTCTCCTCCTCCTCTTCGACCGCCTCCACTTCCATCTCTACCACTCCTCCGACAGCAAGAACAACCCTTCCTTCTCCTCCTCAGACTACTCAGGGTAAAGACCAGAATGAGGACCTTTATAATGATCCACTAAGATTTAATGAATAGGAGATATATTTTCTTTTTCATATGATTTCCATAATAATAGTTGCTTTCCTCTAGCTTACTTTAACTGGAAGAATATAGTATATATGCCGGGTGTGGTGGCTCAAGTCTATAATCCCAGCACTTTGGGAGGCTGAGGTGAGGGGTTTGCCTGAGCCCACGGGTTCAAGAAAAGCACGGGCAGCTTGGCGAGACCTTGTTTCTACAAGAAAAAAAAAAAAATTGGTCGGGCATAGTAGCACATGCCTGTAGCTTCAGCTGCTTGGAAGGCTGAGGCAGAAAGATTGCCTGAGCCCAGCAGGTTGACTCTGGGGTATGCCACTGCACTCCAGCCTGCACAACAGAGTGAGACTCCAACTCAAAAAGAAGAAGAATATAGTATATAATACATATAACATATAAAGTGTGTGTTAATCAACTGCTAATGTTCTTTATCAGTGAGGTTTCCAATCAGTAGTAAGCTATTCATAATTAAGTTTTTGGGGAGTCAAAGTTATACATGAATTTTCAACTATGAGGGGTTCAGTGCCACTATCCCTCACAGTATTCAAGGGTCAACTGGACACTGTTTTCAATTATAATCCTGTAGTGGGCAGGAGCAAAATTTGAATTCCTTCTCCACAGTGCCTGACAAAGTAGTGTTTAATAAAGGACAGTAGCTACAGAACTACAGTTCCCCACAGAAAAAAAGGAATATATTTAAATACTGTCAAAAGGCTCTTAAGTTTTCTGAAGTCTAGCATCAGTTATACCAGCACAGTTCTGCAATTGGACCCCCACATAGAATAAAGTGACAAAAAATAAAAAAACTAAATTAAAAACAGCTCATTTCCTGAATCAGGTTGTCCTTGCATTTTTTTCCGAAGTCACCCTGGTTATACACTGTAGCTGTGACAGCAATTTGCCACATCCCACAGACTATCATGTCTTCAATTTTTAGTGATTTACTTTGACACTTCGCCTTAGTGCCTAAGACAAGCATAACTCTTCCTGAAGTGTGTCACGTTTAGGTACCTTTAAAGAACCGACTACATTTAAATCACAGAAAATTATGATTCTCTCTTTTCAAAGGGAGACAAATGACAATTCAGTCATGTGGCAAATGAAACAAACAGCAGAATCCTTTTCTATCCAACTTTCAGACCTTTTATTTAATCCTACATGTAAGACACAGGAGATTGAATGGAAACCCATCATCATTCTCCTGTACTGCAAAAAAAGGAACGTTGATTTGTACCTGACCTTGGACTTCTGTGACTCTTCTCTGGTTCTCAAGCTAATTGACTGATCCTTCTTAGAACCTTTCCTATCTCCTCCTCTCTGAGCACCACAAAAATATAGGCAGTACTCAAAGATTCCTATCTCCTCCTTCTTAAGCACCAAACAAATATAGGCAGTTCTCAAGGGTTCCTATCTGGCCTTCTGGCCTTTACTTTATGAGCCTGAGGTCCTCACTCGCTTTCAGGACCTCCATTATTACCTCTCTTTGGATGGCTCCAGATTTTCTTTTCTCCTGATTTCTGTGGACGCTGAACAATTGATCCACATTCCCAGTGCTTAGTTCCCTACCAGTTATACCATTTTTCTTTCAGGAACCTCTACCTTAATGTATTTCAAATAAAGCTCTTACCTTCGTGTTATGCTGAAATCTTGAGATATTCTAATACCCTCCTTCTTTTAACCCTCCACAATTTACCAACCAACACTCGTTTCCAGTCATCAGCTCTCCCTCAGGCATTCTGAGAAATCCAGACCCTCATCTCATCTCCAGCTACTACCAGCCAGCTCAGCCTTGATCATCTTCTGTCTGAACTATTTACCCATTTGTTGTTTCCTCTGCCATTCAATATTTCTTAGATATTCTCTAAAGCATACATCCACCTCCAGTTTGAACTCTCAAAAGATAGAAGATAGTTCATAGCTCCCCACTCTATAAAGAAAAATATCCAGACATTGAAAACTACACTATGAGAGCTTGAGAATGAAAAATAAAAGAAATTTCAGGAACAAAATGAGCATCAAATTGACCTAAAAGGACTTTCAGGAAACTTCTGGATATTAGACAAATAGTTAAGCTACTCCATTCAGACTCCATGACTTGAGGTTCCGTGAACTCCATCCATACCTCTGATTCTCATGCATATAACTCCTTCCCTTGCTATCCCCAATTAATTACCATGTTCCTGAATCCCGTGTGTTTTTACAATCTGGCTAATATATCTATTACCCAAGGAAATTTGCCTTTTTCTTCTGATGAAGGGACTATCTCCCTCCTCTGGATGTACTTTTCTTTTGCATCTTTGCTATTGGCTATCACATAAAGTTTTAAAATCAAAACACAAGGGAATATATATATATGTGGTCTAAAGGGAAAAAAAAGAGAGAACTACCCATTAGCCCATCACAAAGCTACAGAAATAGAATTTTACCAATATCTTGGAAAACCTCCTTAATTACACCCTCTCTCAATCACAGGGATAACTACTAACATTTGTATTTCACTTTAAATTTTCAAAAGTATACATGTATCCCTAAATATTACTGTAATTAGTTCTGCATGGTCTTTGCTATATATAAGTGGAACCAAACTGTACAAATTTCTTTTACCACTTAATTTTTCTCATTTGACGTTATAATTCTAAGATTCAACCACGCTGATGCTGATTACTAGTTCATTTATTTTTGTTGCTGGATTATATCACATTTACGAACATGCCAAAATTAAACAGATCTCGCTATTAAAAAGTGCTGCTATAAATCTCCTTGTACTTGTCTTCTGGTATACTGGTATATAACCTTCACACACAAATCACACTCTCAATATGACCTGAACAACCCCTGCTCTGCACAAGAAATTGTATGAAGCCCCAAGCAGAGAAAAAACACAGACTCATTCCTCCCATGAAAGCTCAGTTCATTGGAAGAGACAGATATAAACAAAAAAATAAACACACAAATAGAATACTAAAACTTATGACTGACACTTTGCCTAAATAAGTCAAACACCATGACAACTGCCATATAAGAAAAGAACTAGTTCTGTGAGGGACCCTAAAAAGCCTCATTAAAACACTGGTGGCCTAAAAACACTGAGACCTAAAGAAAGAGAATGTACTAGCCATGGGACGAATATAAGCACAAAGAACTAGGATAAGTTCTTTTCAGACAGGAGGAACAGAATACAGAGTTTGTCATTTCCCCCGTCAGATGGTCGATGAAATGATGATACCCCCAGAGGAGCACCGTGAAGGAGGTGGATTGAGAGATAGGCCGGGCAAAGACCATTCTGTTCTGAGAGCAACAGGAGTCTGCTATAAGCAAGAGCCTGTGTCCATGTGTAACGTTCTCTCTCTGAATTTAAGGTCCTTAAGTGTTACTGTCTTCACACTGTTTTATCTCCTGCACAATACTGGAGTCCAACAAATGAATAAACAGTGTGCCCTTTGCCCTAGGGCATACTGGGTGGGGATTTACACAAAATGAGAGAGAACCCTAACCTAAAGCAGTACTCAGTGGAGAGACAAGCAGTCTTCCACCATCACACCATCCCACAAAGGCAAGCACAAGCCACTCAGGTGAAACACTGTCATTGCTGGCAATCATAAAGTACTGGAAAAATCAGAGGCAGGTGGGATTAGATTGTACCTGTTTCCAAAAGAGGTAAATTTTTAATAGTATTTGGGAGGAATAAAGGGTTATAGGCCATTGCAAAGGAAGGATCAGGACATTATACGTAAACAGAAAGAAAGGGAGCAGAAGGAGTTGATTGATCATAAACAGGTGGGCTTGACTGGTGGCAGACAGGCCCTGGCTGGAGGGCAGTGAGGGAAGAAGGGAGCAGGAAGAGTAAAGGCCAACTGACTCTAAAAACAGTGCCTGGAATATTTAAAATCCAACACAACCCAGCACTTTACTAATTGTGCATCACCAAATGTCATTTAGTTTAAAAATCAAAGGAGTGCCACTTCTGTTCCTCTCAGGTTTGAGGGGATGAGCTGGGGAGGGAGTTTTTACTTTAGGGGTCAAGATAATCAACAGAAGAGAACACCAAACGTGTTAATATGTTTATCCACCCAGAAGTATTACTGAAAACTGGAACCATGTACATAATGACACAAAGCAGTCTTCTGTCAATGGAGATGTTGTTGCTGAGTCATCTGTCCTCATTTCATAGTTCATCAGGTTTGAGAAGACCTTCCAGACCCATCAGCTGGATTATAGACGTGAAGCTGAACCTCTTTCAAAACTGCTGTTACCATGGACTCCCTGCATAGACTGAACATCCCTTTTGCGTGTTTGTAATTTACTTCTATTCTCTTCTCACTCAACATACAGATCGCTAGCCAGAATGTAGTGTCTTCCATTCTTTGTACTGGTAATTCTGCAACACTGGCTGCAACTACTACAACCTGCTAATTATCTTTGAGGCTCCATGGATTATGCAAGAGACAAGGTCATCTCATTCATCCTTGTATTGCCTTATCTGCAGATGTTTTTCAGCCCTTTAGACTTCTCTTCCATACAGAGCTTCAGCTTTTCTTATTTTCAGGCTTTGCATTGCTGTTTTTATCTGAATGATTATACACCTCTCTTTCCTCAGCCCTCCTCATGCCAGCTTAAAATTTATTGCTAATTTCTACTGACTTTTAAAGAGCGGATTCTCAACCTCAATGTATCATTTTTAAGAATAATCTCCAAAGCTTCACTGAACTGCCTAGACATATATCAACAGTTAACTAAATGCAGCAAACAAGAATACTTGGAATGTTTCAATTTTCCCTACCTTAAAAGTATAGGCAAATGTCAATGTCCTTATTAACTATCTGACAAGATCTAAATGTTCTTTGAGTAGACTCAATCATTAAAACTACAACCACAAATAGAATCTAGATAGTGTCGATCTAAAAGTATTCATACTTCTACTTAATTTTATGTTATTTGAAGGGATATTTTTAAATGACTCTCACAGAATACCACTCTGAATGCTCCTTCCACTGGAAAAATTCATTGATAATACTAAATGTCTTAACACAATATTTAAAAGAAAATAAAGTCTTTCATCTAATTTGCTAAAATGTCAGCTCAAATTTGGATCAGGAACATGATTCTACCATGTTTATGATATGATTTTATTGTTAAAAGATAAAAATCACTTATTATATGATTGTATTGAGACAAACTGATTGGAAAGCTATACTTCCAAACACGCACAAAATACTAAAAAGGCATGACCTAATACTTTGATTCCTTGATTTAATTTTTTAAATTATTACTATTTTTTTTTTCAGACAGGGCTTCACTCTGTTGCCCAGACAATAGTGCAGTGGCACAATTGTGGCTCACTGCAGTCTCGAACTCCTGGGCTCAAGTGCTCCTCCAGCCTCAGCCCCCTGAGCAGCGGGACTATAGATATACGCCATCACATCCAGCTAATTTTTTTTGCAGAGATGGGGTCTCACTTTGTTGCCCAGGCTGACTGGTCTCGAACTCCTGGCCTAAAGCGATCCTTCTATCTCAGCCTCCCAAAGTACTAATGCATAAGCCACTGCACCCAGCTTTAATCCTTTAGAATTGGATGGCAGCATAAGTTTTGAAAAAGCTTTTTACATTACTCCTGTGTTTTGGTTAATTTTGTTCTCCAACTGAGAATGGCATATGTTCAGTTGTTTCACTACTGCATGCGGATGGGGCAAATAATAAAACATTTATAGATACACAGCCAACTCTTTGAGCGGGGTACACTGAAAATCAGATTAACGCTACAAACACATCACCCTCTTCATTTGTCTTTCCTTTAAAAAACAAAAATGTCTATCCAAAGAACAGAGTGATTAACTTTGGTAGAATAACTCACAACATAGTGCTTTTTGTAGTCTTCGGATTTTGATCGCAGTACGGTAGGCGGAGAAACGCACATTATTCAGGTCAGCTGAAATGGAAAAGGAACAATTTTAAAAACACCTATTTATTATTTAACTTATGTTGAATGCCAAGAATGCATTTGCTCATTTTGAATAATAAAAAAAATTATGTATATCTGAGGGAAAAAATCTTCTCCTAAATTCTACAATATGTATTTAAGAAAATAATTAAATGATCATTAGCAGCACCATGTTGAGATACATCTCAAAGCAGTGCTACATAGAAAATTCTAAGAAAGTATTTTCAAATAGGTGTCAGGGCTCAGAACATGAAACCCCAAAGTATGGTGTCTTGGCATGCTGAGTACTTTGAACTGAAGGAGATTAGAAGGGCCTCAGAAGCAAGGTCTTGCTGACCTCCAGTCCTCCTATCTCCTGATCTGCCCTCTCCCTCTGAAGTGAGGCACAGAAACCAGAATTCCTCTTCACCAAGGTGGATCATAGAAACTAAAATCCTATTCCCCAAAGCAAGTCATAAAACCTAGAAAGGTCACTCCTTTCTCTCTTGGAGGCAGCATGGAACAGGTATCCTGTCCTTGGAGGAAAGGAATGCCACACAGAGGCCAAGAAGAATATGAACAGATAGTCCTTGCTGGGTTTCACCCCACTCTCTATCATCATTAGAGCATAACTTTTTTGTCCAACTACATTTCCGTACACTGTCCATTCTTCATCAAACTTAAGCATAAAAATAGACACTCTTCCTTGGATCCTTGAGTCTTCACTTCTGAAGACTGGCTCCCAAGTCAAGAAAAACATTGATCATATAAACTTGTTATGCTTTTCTCTTGTTAATGTGTCTTTTCTTACAGAAGTGTCGCATGACCCTTATAATTGGTGAGGAAAGGTATCATACCTTTATGCCCCTAGGTAGGAACAGGAAGATGAGGAAGAGGAAGCACTGCTATTATTATGGCTTAATACATTGCACAGTGGGCTGAGAGCTCTTCCTTCTCTTCTGCTAAAGGGGATTCTCCCCCAGGGGCATCTTCCCCATGGACAATTCATTTTCTTTCAACCAAGCTATCTATATCACTACTCAAGAATTTTGTCTTATTTGTATGCTTCTTCCATTCTGATTTATTTGCATCTTCTGCCCTTTTGTAGATCTGGTTAAAATGATCCTACAATCAATACTCAAATATATGGAAACAATAGAGATTGTGATTTCTTTCTCGGCTCCCTAAAGATGGATTATCAGAGACTAGCAGAGTTACAAGAAAATTCAGAAATCATCAAAATTTGTCCCTTTGCTTTACAAACTAAGCAAATCAGTGGCTCTGCTCTTGCTTGTCCAACCTTTGCAGGTGCCCTCAGCTACCCAAATCAAAGCTCGCACAGCATTCCTTTAGTTAAAGAGCTAAAAGGGGGTGCCTCTCCTGTTGAAATGGAGTGGGAGAGGGAGACTTGCGGTGCTGCTCTTCCCTCCAGCAGCCCCTTAGCTATCCAGAGAGAAAACTTTAAAAACCATTGTATCAACTGGAGGAAAATGGGTTGAACAGTCTGTTGAAAGTCATATTCTGCTAGAAATTAAAATAATATCAGAAGTCTCATCCAATGTGCTTTCTGACATTTTAATATTAAAATGCGTTTAGCTTTTAATGACTTAGACATAGTGAAATTAGGTAAGCTAATTTGATAAAATATACTAAATAAAAAGTGAGCCAAAAGCAATGGATTTAAGTTTGCTATATTGTAATTGTACACACACACACACACACACACACACACACACACACACACACACACACACACACATTTTTACATGTAGAGCTGAAGTTTCAGATGACTCATTATGAGGGAGGTAAAATCTATAATTATATTTCTCCATGTACATCAACTCTTTTTTGGCTCACACTATTTTAAACCACACAGTTCTCTTTAGAAGAAAGGCAATACCTGTTTACTGCATTGCCTTTAGAAGTTCAACAGCTTTTAAATGTCAATGCCATGATTCTATCATCATTAACATGCCATGTAAGAAAAGCTGGTGATTCGTTTCCACTTAAGAATATATAGTTCTCAGTTGTTTAGGTTAATTTATTACTATCAAAAAAAAAAAAAAACCACTCACCAAGGGATTGAAAGAGTTCGGTCATTTTAGGATGATCCCAACAGGTAGTCTGCGTTTGATGACTGGGGAAAAAAAGGTAAAATCTTAAAAACAAAGACTATAAAATATAGACCACACAGAAAATACCCAAATAGAATTTGTTTTTCCAATTTTTAAAAAATTATTTATTTATTTTTTATTATGAAGTTGTGGGGTACAGTTAAGGGTTAGGTATACAATTGCGTTTCATTCAGGCACCCTGTTGGTATGTGTGTGTTTCCCCTTTCCAAATTTTTAAAAATACATGCAAAATTTTCTAATCCATTCAGAAACTCAATGGCCAGTTATTATCTACCATTTTAAACATCAATAACAAATTTTATTTGAGAAACCATATTGTGAAAAGACAAATGAAAATTTTTGCTTTATTCATTTTTTTAAAAAATTGCAACTAATTTTTATTTTATTTTATTTTAAAGATGTGGGGTACAATTCAGGATTAGGTATATAAATGGTAACTAAAAATTAAAACCTAGATATAAAGTGTGACTAGACCCTCGGGACCCAGGCTTGACATGGCTGCATTAATGTAGACTTCTGTTAAGCAGATATAGATTCTCATCAGAACAATTCCTCTGGCAGCAGAAATGTTCTGAAAAGTCACTATTTTTTAGAAGTCCTAATCAAAATTCCAAAGACTAGAGGAATGAAGAGTGTAACTCTGAATAACATCACCTCACCATCTACTGAGCCTCCCTTTCTTCAACCTTGGGTACAACCTTCCTCAGTGAAAATTTGCTCTTTTCCCCTTAAGTATGTGCCTCTCTTTTGGCATTTTGACTTCATGTCCCTCTTCTCAACTTTCTTCAGTTAACCAGTATTTCTCTTTTTTATATGTACTGAACCTTTTTCCTCATGATCCTTATTCTTCATTTTATTAATAAAAGCATGTTTTAGAATTTCTCCCTTTTTTGATAAATCTCAAAACTAGTTCATTTATTGGTCAGAAGTCTTTGGGGAATAAGATGAGAGAAAAACAGATAAATGAAATGCTTAAATTAGGTTCTTTAGTTTGTGTGTGCCTGTGAGGTAAACAGGTCACAACTTGGATAGGTCAGTGTCCTTATATTTAAAAAAGAGCTTACTGTCCCTTATCTAGGTCAGAATGGAGTAATAACATTTAATAGTACTCCAAAGACTTCTTAGATGACACTCAGTTCTTATAAAACTCTTTAGTAAGCTAAGTGAAACAGCATGGTACACAAGAGAGATATTAAAATATTCATAAAATCAAATTTAAGAAAAATTATTTTTTAGTAATAAAAGCCAGTGTAATATATCAAAAAATGGGGCATGTCACCAGGAAAAGAACATCATCATTGTTACATATACATAGGTGACAGAAACCCCAAATAACTCATCATTTGCTTTGAAACTATTTAAAGTTCATATTTCAAATTGGTTATGTAAAATGTTCAAGAAATTCCAAAATCTCAAACAAAATAAAATACCTACAATGTGAGAATCTGTCTTGGGAAGAGTTGAAATGTTTTCTGACTCCCCTACTCTGGGGTTCTTGAGTCCAATGCACATGCAAGATTTCTCCTATAATCTTTACTGAACACCAATGAAACTAGTCCATCCTTTAGCTTTGATAGTCGTAATACTATCTGAATTGTTCCAAAGACCACGGAGCAAGTACTAAAGGTGTTTGACCTAATTCTTACTACTCAAGAGTGTGGTTCAGCGTTTATAGAAATGTAGAATCCCAGAAAGAATTTCTACCACCAATAAGAATCAAATAAAAATTTGCTGAGAAGATAGTATAATTCCACTGTTGCATCATGGGCTCTCAATCTCAGACAGCCTACCAGAATTTAGTTGATCTCTTGCTTTCTCTTTGAAGTAATTTCAATCCCAGTGCAATCGTGCTGTCCAGAGATAGCCATCCCATCATGAGAGAGCAAACCGAAGCTCAAGAACCAAGCTAAAGCTATCAGTCATGCAGAGCCAGGATTTAGACTTCAACAATAAATCAAAGTATGCTTTCTCTAGAATCACTGGTGTGGTGCTTCACCTCACACAATCCCTACTGAAACACAAGGGAAAAATACCACAATTTCTCAATCAGGCAAAGGACTGAAAATTCAAGGTGAGCACCCGCTTACTAATGGCTCTTTTCAGTGAAACCACTACTGAGAGCTGAGGGAACACACACATTTGGCAAACAGATGGAGGGAGGGAAACAGCATTTCCCTTTGTGAATTCAATACCAGTTGACTCATTAGGCAGAACTGCCAACGCTGAAAATAAATACAGCCTCTGGTTACAAAAGTATAACTGCAGCTTACCAAACAAAAGTTACAAAAAAAAAAAAAGAGGTAAGTGCAGTTGGTTGTTGGATTTTCTTTCACTCGTTCATTCATTCTTTTTATTTTTTTTAAGTGAGGGGAAGAGGGTTAAAGCAAAATTCACAATGAACCTAAAGGCTTAAAGTATTTGAACAGCTGCAGACAGCAAAGCTCCTCTCTTGCCAAGATGCTGCCTATCCTCCTGGAGTAGACAAACAAAACAGAATAAAAGTAGCATTTTCTCCCCCAAATAACAACAGCTTAGGTTCTGGCTAATCTCAAATATGAAAAGGGAGTGGGCCTTAATATTGTGCAGCTTAATAAACTATAAAATTATAATTTGTTAAAATATCATCTTTTTAAAAGGCAACAGACACAGGAATCTACCCAAGAATAAAATAAAAAATTAAAAATTTAACAAAGCAGCAATTAACAGGAAGTCCAAAATCACATAAAGCAAACAACAGTGAGAATACATGACACATAACTAGGGTGCCCAGTTATTCCAGTTTTGCCTCTAGGGAAAAATTGTGAAGGCCTTTCTTGTGGGCAAAAAAAAAAAAAAAAAAAATAAGCAAGTATCTTGTAAAGCTTATGTTATCTATGAGCTACTTTAAGCTCTGCAAACTGAAGAAAACTGATAGTAATGCAAATTATTTTTGTCCATATAAATGTAAATTGTGTCCATGGGCATGCAATTGATTATTGTCCTGTGGATATTGACCAGTTTGTCAGCTTTGCATCTATAGGTAAATCCATTTTAGTATCCTTTATCTAACTATAAAGATGTGGCAGTTTGTATTCTCTTTGAACTTACCAGTTCCCTTACAATGAGTTAAATGAAATATTTGACACATGTTCTTTTATATTGATATGAAAATCACAATTTTACCTATTTTGAAAATTATCCTTCAATACCTGGGACAGATATGATTTATACCGGACTGTACACAGGAATTATATATCAGTGTTCTGGTATAATTATTAAAAGTGCATCTTTACTCTTAAAAGTCCCAATTAGTATAACATATGGTTCCTATTTTTTATGTATTTTTTTGAAATATTAAATCAGTAAGATTAATAATTGTTATTTTTTATAACAATGTACTCTAATAAGCCACAGAAAGTAAAATACAAATAATACTATACACCAACAAATAAAACACAAAAATGTTGTGCTGTAACACTGCCTAACGTATGAGACAACGAACCAAGTGCAAATTTCATGTTCTTTTGATAGACTGGCAAGATACTGATTTCTGGACAAATAATGACTGCTCCTGAGAAGATACTTTTTAAACCCATTCTTTATTAAAGTGATCTCATTTTTCTCCATGAAACCTTAAAAGATGATCAGAAGGTCTCCTGTTTATCCAAATATTGACACTTAGTCAAATATATGTACTTGTTATTATCTGTCCAATTTTATACTTGCACCTGGATGTTACAAGTATAACGGTTACAAGCATAAAAGGCTTGCTATTTATCATCCCTTTGAAATTATACTTAAAAAGGCATTTAAGAGGAAAAACTAAAAATGAGTTAAGAACAAATACAAATGTGGGAAAAAGAACTATGTATATTGTTCTGGGATACGACAATCACAGAAAGAGAAATATTTATTCTTTGCTGTGTTAAGTGAAATATAACATACTAGGTCAGGATGTCTAATATTAATTATAGTAACAGCATTTTATTTTAGTGCTCAATTTGTACCAAGTACTCTTTAAACTTTTTCTATGTGTAAACTTAATTGCATTCTAATTCTACAATTAGTGACAATATTGTTCCCATTATACAGATGACGGAAACTAGGGCAGAGGGCACTAAGATAACTAGCCTGAGGTCATACAGTAAGTAACAGAAATGGAATTTGAACACAGATGTTCTGATTTTCAGCCTGAGCTCTTGATATGGAAGTATATTTGCATAATTAAGATTTTAAAATATTTCTTGATGAATCTGTCCAAATTTGAGTCCATGGTCTATCATTATAATCATTATAAACAACCTCATCTCCTTGCTTCTCTCACCCCTGGCAAATCCCAGGCCTGGATCAGCTCAATTACTTGCCTACTCTGAACCTGAGCAGCTGTGTGTGAATACAACTGGAGAAAATCACTCAACAGCCGATTTTACTTTAAATATTTAATTTGAAACCTCAAATGTCCAACTGCTGGCAATTGCACTACATTCCCTAATAAACTTGCACTCCCAAATTCCAGGACAAGAATTTACTACTGCCTTCTCTTTCTCTAAACCAAAATAAGTTTCCTCCCTTGCCTTAGTGTCATTGGACTTTAACCACACCACTGAAAAACCAAAAACCAATAGATTAGGACTCCTTCATCTTCCCACTCAAAAATCAGTAAACTCCCCTCCATCTGCCAGTCTTCCTATCTTCCCTTTAACTGAAAAAATGTCCTCCCTATTATTAAAGGCCAATTCTTTCCAACAATTTCTGTAAATACTCTTGTGCTGCTATCAATCAATCAATCTATCTATCTAACATCTACCTATAATCTATCTTCCTACCTACCTATCATCTATCTCTATATCTATCTATCTATCTATCTATCTATCTAGTCTATTTATCTATATAAAGAGAAATCAAGCAAGAACTTCCAACTAATAATTTTGCTTTCAGTTAAAGTCAATATTGCAGGTATGACTAACAAAACATTAGTTATTTAAAAAAATAGGACAAGGTTTGTGTTTGTTTTTAAATAAAG